TACCGAGTCATGGCCGAGACCTACGGTGAGGCTAGTGTGCCGAAGCTGAGGTTTGGGGTCTGGGCCCACGGAGGATGCGGCCTGGGGGAATGGGGCGGGGCCTTTATGCCAGGGGGCGGGGTGTGATGTGATGGGGGCAGGGCCTAAGTGGGTGCTGGGAGGGGTTTAGCGGGTCTGAGGCTGAGCTTAATCGATTTGAGTGGAGCCTGAAGGTCTGGTGCGTGGGTTAACTAGGTCTGGGGCGGGATTTGGGGGAGGCAGTCATGAGGGGCTCAGGGTAGGCCTTAAGGGAAGTGGTGGGCCCTAACGTGTCGGGCGGAGCCTGAGTGAATGGGCGGGGCTGACTGCGTGAATGGCAGGGGTCGGGCTTTATGGGCTAGAGGGAACCCTGGATGGATACTCTGGACCCTGGGGCTGATCTGGCTGGAGAAGTCTGGAATGGGGCTGGGAATGGATTGTCCTTGAGTTAGGGGCGGGGTGGGGCATAATCGTGAAACCACTAAGTAAGGGCAAGGTCTTGGGCAGAGGGAGGGAAGGAGAGGCTGGGAATTGGAAAATCAGTATGGATATGCAAAACCCGGTGGTGGCGGTGGGGAGGCTCTGGTTTAGGAATCAGAGGGAGCTGCATTCATTCAGCAAATACAGGAAAGCAGAGAAAACAAATACGGAGATCCTGAGGTGGGAACCAGTTTGTCATTTTCAGTGACTAGATGGAAGGCCAGGAGCTGTAGTGGGCTGGGTGAGTCAGAGTCAAGAGGGGCGGGGCTGGGTTGTAGTTCTTGTCTAAATGACTTTCAAGAAAGATCCTTTAGCCATGTGAGAGCTAAGATCTTGGGCTCTGGAGTCCCTTGGCCTGGGTTTGAATCTCGGCTTTGCCTAGCTGTGTGACCTTGGGCAAGTCAGTTAACCTCAGTTTCTTTCTCTGGAAAATGGGGATGATTTTTATTAAGTATGCCTCCCTCGTAAAGTTTTCCTGAGGATTAAGTGAGCTGTTGATGCAAGTTAAGACCTTTAGAACTGTGCCTGGCACATAGTAAGCACAGTGTAAGAGTTATCTGTTTCTGTTGTCTGTTGCTTTGTTTCTTCCAGTGTCTGTTTCTCTCCATCTGTGACAGTCTCTTTGTTTTTATCTTTTCCCCTGTATCTTTCTCTCCCTGTGGATATCCCTGATTTGGGCTCCATCTGGTCAGACTTCCTTTTCAAATTCCTGGTGATCGGCAGTGCAGGAACTGGAAAATCATGTCTCCTTCATCAGTTCATTGAGAATAAGTGTGAGTTTCAAGCCGTGGTCCTGGGAGCACTAAACTGTGGTTATGGGCGTGGTGTGGGCAGGTGGGCAGCTGATGGGGTGGGCAGGGTGGGTTATAGGTACAACTCCAGTGCTGGCTTCTTGGTCCTTGCCTTGATGTATGTTTTTTGTTCAGTTCTCCTTGACCTCAGTCACCCTGGCAATGAGAATGGGTTTGTAGCTACTGAGAAGGACTTGGAGGATGGGCATCATCTGAGCTGCCTCCTTTCTCCCTGCACTGCCTCCTGTCTCCCTCCCACTCCTAGTCAAACAGGACTCTAACCATACGATCGGCGTGGAGTTTGGATCCCGGGTGGTCAACGTGGGTGGGAAGACTGTGAAGCTACAGATTTGGGACACGGCTGGCCAGGAGCGGTTTCGGTAGGTGGGCTGGACTCCCAAGGGGGATGGGGAGGGAGAGAGAGAGAGGTGTGTGCAGGCAAGGCAGTGGGGGAGAGGTAGAGACCATGGTTAGCAGGTCCATGTAGCCAAGGAGAGGGAGTTCTGGAGAGAGAGACAGAGACAGAGAAAAAGAAATAGAGAAGGAGAGGCTTGGAGATAGGGGTGAGGGCTAGAGACTGAGAGGCATTAAAACAGAAAGAGAAGGGGACACTTGAAAGAGAGATACACACTCAGAAAGGAAAAGAGAGACAGACTGGGAGATGAAGAGAATACTAGAGGAGATCATGAGAAGCTAAGAGAAACAGAGGTCGGAGGCAGAGAGAGACAGGGAGATGAAGAATTGGATGTGTTATGGGGGAGAGAGATGTCTAGGGCTCAGCACACAGTAGGTCCTCAGGAAATATCTGCAGAAAAGTTGATAGACACATAGAAACCTTGAGTAAGAAAATTTGAGAAACAGAGACAGAGAGCGAGGCAAGCAACAAGAAACTCAGTCAGTCCATGGAGACGTGTGGTCTCTGGGCAGCATGTAGTAGCTTCTGAATTGATACTTGTGTGTTGATTCACTGTGTGAGGTGCACAGAGCCCAGAGACGGGGAGGTGGGGGTGGGGCAAGGAGAGACAGGTGTGTGGCATAGGCTGGGTTCATGGTAAGTGCTTCATAAATGCTTGTGGAATAATTGCACAAGTTCTAGAGGGACCCAGCCTGGTAAGACAGGAAAATGCAGAGAGTGGGAAGGGGATTTCTCTCCCACACAGCAGGAGAGGGACAAGCAGATATTGCATAGCACTTGGCCAAGTGCTCAGAGAATGTTGAACAAATGAATGAATGGGTTGGCAAGGGTGAGAGTGAGAAAGCCAGAGCCGGAGAGACCGACAGAACAGAAAAAAAGAAAGCAGAAAATAGAGAACTAAAGACACATACATAAAAGAGACACACTGACTGGGTGCAGTGACTCATGCCTATAATCCCAGTATTTTTGGAGGCTGAGGTGAGAGGGTTGCCGGAGCCTACGGGTTCGAGACCAGCCTGGGCAACTTGGTGACACCTCACCTCTACAATAAAATCAAGAAAAATTAACCAGGCATGATGGTGCATACCTGTGGTTCCAGCTACTTGGAAGGCTGAGGCAGAGGGATCGCCTGAGTCCAGCAGGTCAAGGCTGTGGTGGCTGTGATCCTGCCACTGTCCTCTGGCCTGGGCAACAGAGTGAGACTCCAACTCAAAAAAAAAAAAGAGGGCCGGGCTCGGTGGCTCAGTTTATAATCCTAACACTTTGGGAGGTTGAGGCGAGTGGATTGCCTGAGCTTGCAGGATCGAGAACTTGGTGAGACCCTGTCTCTACAGTGAATCAAAAATTAGCTGGGCGTGGTAGCGTGCGCTTGTACTTCCGGCCACTTGGAAGGTTGATGCGGAAAGATCATCAGAGCCCAGGAGATTCGATGCTGGGTTGGCTGCATGGCACTGCACTCCAGCCTGGGCGACAGAGTGAGACTCCAACTCAAAAAAAGGAAAAAAAAAGAGACACACAGAAAGAAACAGACCAATGAAGAGACATAGAAAGATAGGGAGACTCCCAGACAGGGGCAGGCAGACACAGGTGCTCAGTGAGGTAAGCTGAGAGAGGCAGAGAGAGACACTGGGAAGAGAGAGGAGAGTTGTATGGTGACCAGACCAAGACCAGGTTTTGGGGGTGGGCCAACCGTGAAAGGGGGCCTCCGAACCACCAGTCTCTCTCCGCAGAGGGGGGCAGTCTCGGGGCAGACCCCAGCCTTGGGGATGACTGGATCCCCCTGGCCCCACAGGTCAGTGACGCGGAGTTATTACCGAGGGGCAGCTGGAGCCCTGCTGGTGTACGACATCACCAGGTGGGTGCCCAGTGTGGGTGGGGCAGGGGAGGGCACGGGCACCCCCTCTCCTGTGCTGCCTCCCTCCTGTCTCCCTTCTCCACAGCCGGGAGACATACAACTCGCTGGCAGCCTGGCTGACCGATGCCCGCACGCTGGCCAGCCCCAACATCGTGGTCATCCTCTGTGGAAACAAGAAGGATCTGGACCCTGAGCGGGAGGTCACTTTCCTGGAGGCCTCCCGCTTTGCTCAAGAGAACGGTGAGGCCTGTGTGGTGGGCTAGGTTGGGGGTGGGGAGGGCAGAGCTGCCGAAGCGAAGGACAGTCCATAGGAACCATGGACCTCCCAGCTGTCAATGGCTGTGCCCAGCAGGGGAACCTGGAGGTTAAGCAGTCTGGGTTCAAATGTGAGTGTTGCCACATGTGTGCTGTGGGAACACTCTGCTCCTCAGTTTCCTCTTCTGGAAAGTGGGACCACAATGTTTCTGCCTTACTGTGTGCTGTGATGGTTAAGGGAGGTCATCCGTGGAAATTCCCCAGCACCCGGACGGACACAGCGTGGATGCCAGATGAATACTGGCTACTAAGAAGGGGTCAGCTACCATGTGGAGGCAGCACAGGGTATTGGTTTAAGGTAGAGATTGCAGACTCAGATGACCCTAGATAAAAGGCACATTTTGGGAATATGTGAGCTGGGATGGGGTAGATCCCAGGGCAGTGGGCACTGGAGTGGCACGTACTGACAGGATACCTCAAAAGGTTAAGTATATAAACTCAATGATGACATTGTGTTGGCCACACCAATCACATCTCCTGGCTTGGGATCTGCATATGTTCCCCCATTTTGCAGCCTCCAGGTTTAGAGGAGGTTTTACTGTTGGGTAGATGTGAGTTTGAATCCTGGTTCTAATTTACTTACTGTGAGGCCCTGTCACGTAGCTGATGGGCAGACTCTTGTGGGCCTGTGCCTATGCCAGGCGGTGCGGAGCATATACTGATGAAGATAGCCCTGGGCCCAGCCTGCATGGGGTTCATGGTCCAGTGGGTAGGGGGTGGAGGGACAGACTCACTTCCAGACAATGGCAGCTCAGAAAGGTCAGGGCCAGATAGAGAAGCACAGGGAGAGGTCAAAGCTAGGATGGTGGGGGTGGAGCACAGGCAGAGAGCTCTGGACAGGATGGGGCGGCCTGGCCAGAGGGGTTGGGGTGGGATGGGGGATGTCCAAGCAGAGGGTTCAGGTGGGATTGGGGAGGCCCAGGCAGAGGGGTCAGGGTGAGATGGGGAAGGCCCAGGTAGAGGGGTGGGGTGGGATAGGAGTGGCCCAGGCAGAGGGGTTGGGGTAGGATGGAAGAGGCATGGGAGGCTGTGGGAGCCCAAAGGAGGCACCTGACCCAGCCTGGGAGATCAGGGAGGACTTGCTAGAGGTGGAGCTGTGTGAGCTGAGCTCTAAAGGAAGAGTTTGGTGGGTATACAGGGAGCAGGACATTTGTGGCATAGGAACAGTCTGTGCAGAGACTCGAGGTAAGGGCAAGAGTGGATGGAACAGCTGAGAACTAGAACGAGAGCCAGCAGGTGCAAGTGAGTGGAGAGGGAGACTGGCCGAGGCCCTGATCCTCAGAGTGCCTGCCCCTCCAGAGCTGATGTTCCTGGAGACCAGCGCTCTCACGGGTGAGAATGTGGAGGAGGCTTTCCTGAAATGTGCCCGCACCATCCTCAACAAGATCGACTCAGGTGAGGCTCTGACTGACTGGAGTAGGGTGGAAGGCAGGGCCTAGGGTCTCCAAGGGACCAGTTCCAACCTCTGCCCATTCCCACAGGCGAGCTGGACCCCGAGAGGATGGGCTCAGGCATTCAGTATGGTGACGCTTCTCTCCGCCAGCTTCGGCAGCCTCGGAGTGCTCAGGCTGTGGCCCCTCAGCCCTGTGGCTGCTGAGACCTGCAGAGTCAGGTGGGACATGGGGGGCTCAGGGCGGCAGGGGTGGTCTCCTGGTTAGCTGGGGCATGGAGTGGAGATAGAGACACAGACAACATGATGACAAGAGAAACAGTGAGAAGCTGGGTGTGGTGGCTCATGCCTCTAATCCCAGCACTTTTGGAGACTGAGGTGGGAGGATCGCTTGAGCCCAGGAGTTCAGGATCAGCCCAGACAACATAGTGAGAGAGAGAAACAGTGAGCAAAAAAGATGCAGAAACACATGAGTTAAGGGAGGTGTCTTCTTGGCCACAGGCAATCCACCTGTCCCTCCAGCCCCAGTTCAGCTCTCTGCTGTAGATCTTACCCCTCCCACCCATTCATAGTTCTTCCACTATTTATTGAGCGTCTGCTGTGTGCCAGGCTCTGCTCAAGGTCCTGGGGATACAGCAGTGGGTAAAACAGACAAAAAGAACCTGGCTGTCATGGAACCAACATTCTCTTGTGGGGAGATGGATGATAATAAACAAGATACATAAGTAAATTACGTAGTAGTGAGTTATGAGCTGTTAGGGAAAAATAAAACAGGCAGGGGAGGGTGGAGAGTGCCATCTTAAGCAGGAGGAAGACAGAAGCCTCACTAAGAAAGGAATGTTTGAGCAAAGGAGGGAGAGAGGGAGGCCTGTGGGGATCTGGCACAAGACTGTTCTAGGCATAGAGGAGTGCAGTGCCCTGAAGTCAGGTCATGCCCAGCATGGATGAAAAAGACCAAGGAGATCAGTGTGGCTAGCATGGAGGACGCGTGTGTGTTTTGGGGTCTAGCAGGAGCTGGGGTCAGAGATGGGGGAGATCAGATCACTTAGGCCTGCAGGCTCTAGGGAGGGCTCAGGCTTATACCCTGGGTGGGAACCATGGGACACTTCTGAGCAGAGGAAGGACAGATCTGGTTCAGGTGTTCACAGAAACAGACTTGCGGGGGCAGAGGTGATTGACAGGACACTGGTGAGGAAGCTGCTGCAAAGTCGAGGTGAGAGATGGCGGTGGACAGGACGAGAGGGTGGGGGTGAGAGGAGCGGTTGAGAAACAGATAGCTTCTGTGTCCTCCATGGTCTCTCTGTCCCCAGTCTTGGTCTCTCTTCCCCCACCCCCCCATTTGGTCCCCTCTTGATGCAGAACCTGGGTCTGTTTTTTGGGGGTTTTTTTGAGTCAAGGGTTCACTCTGTCACCGAGGCTAGAGTGCAGTGGCATGATCATGGCTCAACACACACCACAGACTTGACCTCTTCGGCTCAGGCAATACTTCCTCCTCAGCCTCCCACGTAGCTGAGACTACAGGCATGCACCGCCATAATCTTTGTATTTTATGTAGAGATGAGGTCTATGTTATGTTGCCCAGGCTGGTCTTGAATTCCTGGGCTCAAGCCGCCCTCCTGCCTCAGCCTCTCAGTGCTGGGATTACCGAGCCGCCGTGCTTGGTCTGAACCTAGGCCTTTTGAACACGTATCTGCTCCAGTCCCTCTCCTTTTAAAAACCATCTATGGCTCCCAGGGCCTATGGGACACAGCTGAAGCTACTCAGCCTGGCGTTTGACCCTCTGCAGGGGTGAGTCCCTGCCAGCCTCCCAGCCTTAACTTGCACCTCTCTCTGCCTCTCAGGCTGCTCCAGTCACACTGAAGTTCTTCCTGTTTCTCTGCATCTTTGCTCATGCTGTGCCTCTGCTGGGAACGTAATTCCACCCTCTTTTCCCTGATAACTTCCTCTGCTCCTCCTGGAAGTCTTGCTTGTTCCTCCATCCTTGGTCCAAACTTCCCGATAGGCTCGCAAGCTCATACAGGATGTGGTCCCACACCCATCTCTCTGGGTGTGTGTATGTCTTGCCAGGTCTCCCCTCGGTACTTCCTGCCCAACCCCTCCCAGCCTTTGGCAGCTCCAGGGTGGCTGTGGGGCAAGGTGGTTAGACTTTGGATCTACTTTGAAGGCAGAACCAACATGATCTCCTGATGGAATGGATGTGGAATCTGAAAGAGAAAGAAGAGTCAAGGATGAGGTCTTTGGATAGCCCTTTCCTGTCCTTCCAGGCCTTTGCATCTGTTTTGCCTGGGCTTCAGTTTCCTCATCTGTAAAATGGAGCCAATAGTGGTACCTGCCTCGTATGGGTGTTGAGAAGATTAAATAAGTCAATTTACGTAAAGTGGTCCGAATGGGGCTTAACAGTAAAGATTTGATGAATGAGAGCAGTTTTTAAATTTTTCGTCTGAAAGAAAGTTTTCTTAAACACTCAGGGCTATGCAGAAATAGATGGGTATGTACTCTTCACCTCAGGGCTTAGCACAGAATGTCTCAGGGTTTTCCCTCAGTGGGCCAAATTTAATAAAACAACACTTTTTCAGACTGTGTTGACTGCAGTCCTCAGGAGGAAGTACATTTTATATGTTGATGTCATACAGTCAAACCCACATGTAAAACTCACAGACATTTTCCTACCATCAGTATTCTTTCTTATTTTGTTATTGAGGTGAAATTCACATAATTAAATGGCATTTAGTACATTCACAAAGTTGTGCAACCACACGTCTATTTAGTTCCAGAATATTTTTATTACCCTAAAAGGAAAGCCCATACCCATTGGGCAGTCACTCCCCAATCCCTCCAGTCTCCAGCAACCACCAATTTGCTTTTTGCCTTAATGGACCAGTATAATGTTTTAATTACATGTAATGTACACTGATATTTTCTATTCTGTTTGAATACAAAAATTGGTCAGATACCATCAAACTGATTTTTCCACCACTACTGCAGTGCTAAACATTGGAATCACCTAGAGAGGTTAAAAAAAATGCTGGCTGGGTGCGGTGGCTCAACCTGTAATCCCAGCACTTTGGGAGGCCGAGGTGAGAGGACTGCCTAAGCCCGTGGGTTTGAGACCAGCCTGGGCAAGTTGGTAAGACCTCATCTCTACAATAAATGAAAAAATAAGCTGGATGTGGTAGCATGTGTCTGTAGTTCCGGCTACTTGGAAGGCTGAGGCAGAAGGATCGCCTGAGCCCAGCAGGTCAAGGCTGTGATGGCCATGAGCATGCCGCTGTGTTCCAGCCTGGGTGAGAGTGAGACTTCAACTCAAAAAACAAAAAATATTGAAGCCCGGGCCTTACTTCAGAGACTTCAGGGTTTCTAGAAGCTTCCAGGTAATGCTATATGCAGTCAAAGTGGAACACTAACCTAGTGTGTCTCACCAGTTTGGAAAACACTAGAGTGAGATTTAGAGCCAGGGTGACCCAGGAACATAGAGGCACACAGAAAGATACAAAGGTAGGGTTGTGTTATTTATGTATTCATGTATTAATCTTTGTGAGTCGGAGTTTCACTGTTGCCCAGGCTGGAGTGCAGTGGCATGCTCATGGCTACCACAGCCTCGACCTGCTGGGCTCAGGCTATCCTTCCACCGCAACCTTCCAAGTAGTTGGAACTACAGGTGTGCACCACCATGCCCGGATAATTTTTTTTATTGATTGTAGAGAGGAGGTCTTGCCAAGTAGCTGAGGCTGGTCTCAAACCCCTGGGCTCAGGCAGTTCTCTTGCCTCAGCCTCCCAAAGTGCTGGGTTTACAGGCATGAACCACCACACCCAGCTGGGACATGTTATTTAGATGCTGAAATGTCTCTTCACAGACTCAGCTCTCTGAGGTAAACAGGGAGATGCACATATCCTCAGGGAGTGAGCCCCAAATTACCTGCAGAGGAGAAACAAAGTCAGATAATGTGGAAACTTGGAGAAAGATAAAAATATGGACAGATGGACACAGATGAGAGGGCAGGAAGATACCCAGAAATGAGACAGATACCATCTGGACAGATCCAGGGACCCTTCAGGTCACCACACCCTTCTCTTTCAGCTCACCTGTTCTCCAGGACCAGCCCTGCCCTTCCAGTTGGGGCTCAGACTCAGGCTCTGGGAGGCCGTGTCCCAACCTGACCTGGCCCCGGAGAAGCCACCCTGCCACCTGTCCCCCTTCCCTGGCCTGGTGGGGCTTTGGGGCAAGACTGAGCCAAGGGGGAAGGGGGAACCCTTACCTGCTGCTGCTTCCTCTGTCTTGGCTAACCTCTGTCCCCCTGGATCCCTAACCATACCCCAAGAGCTCCCAAAGCCTAAGACCAGGGTCATTTGGCCCCAACTTCCTGCCTGGCCCTGCTGTTGCGAGTACGTGTTATTTATTACCTGGAGGCCTGTCCCCCCTACCCCCATAAAGCGTTGTTTACACCTGTGTCTTGGCCTCCATTATTTTGGGATGGTAGGGAGTTGGAAGAGGTCCCTGATGGAAAGAAGAATCGTGTGTCATGGTGTTTGGGGGCTTTGCTTCTGGGTTGAACATAGTGTGGGAGAATACCAAGAGTACAACATGACTCTGGTGCCTATTCCGAGGCAGGGAGTTTGTCACTGTGTGGATACTTTGTGACAAAGTGCTGAATGCTTTTGTGTAACACTGATATCCCTGTGTTTGTGATATGCCTGTAGGCATGCTGCCAGTATCCTTGTTTGGGACAGTATAGGAAAGTGTGATACTGTTCTGTGTTTTTGGTGATTGTATTGGTGTTTGGGACACCAAGGCCAGAGAATAAGAATTTAGTCCTGGAGATGGACCCCAGGTGTGTTTTACCTAAGCATATCTGATGTCTGAAAGTTGGCGGCTGTAACTCACTACTGTGTGTGTACCTGTGCATGTGTGCCCCTGAGGTCTCTGTGTTTTGGTGTGAATTTGACTCCTTTCATACACCTGTGTGACCAGGAACTTTGTGCCCGGAGGACTGTAGGCCTTTGTGCAATCCCAGCGCCTATGCATATTTTTAATACCGGTGTGCATCATCTTTTTTCTTTTTTTCTTTTTTTGGAGTTGGAGTCTCTCTGTTTCCCAGGCTAGAATGCAGTGGCACTCTCAGGCCGCCACAGCCTCGACCTGCTGGCTGGTCTCGAACCCGCGGGCTCAGGCAATCCTCTCGCCTCAGCCTCCCAAATGCTGGGGTTTGTAGGCGTGAGCCCCGGCGCCTGGCCCGGTGCGTGTCTTCTTGTGCTCAGGGGGCCTGCCAGGGGATGGCTGCAGCCTCCTGAAGACACTCCCGGCAGCTCGTCGCCCTTCCACCGCCAGTTGGCCTTAACAGACGCAGCAGGGAGGCCTGAGCCCTAGCGCCTCCAGAGCGGTAGCGGAGGGGGCGGGCATCCAAAATAATCTTATCTGCATAGTCCTCCCAGGAGGGGTGACCCAAACGTTCTTAAAGAGACGGTCATGTAGTCATGTAAATGTCTTCTCCGCGTAGCTTTCCTTGGTTCTTCTTTTTTTTTCTGTTGCCCAGGCTGGAGTGCAGTGGCATGCTCACAGCGACCGCTCTCAGCCTTCCAAGTAGCTGGAACTATGGGAGCAGGTTCTTTATTCTGACTCCCACAATTGTCCCGAGGGGGCAGGGCGGTGCGGGTCGTGCAAATATGACACATTTGCACATCCTTTCTATTGCGCTTTCCCTTCTCGCAAGGATGTCCTGCGCTCTCTTTAACTCCGTTATAAACAGCACTTATGTAAATCACTGACGTGCGAACTTACATACATTTGCCAACTAACTGCACAGCCATTTCTGAATATCATCCCCATTCTTGGGCGTGAGGAGGAGGAGCTGCCCATGCACATTAATCTCTTGCAGACCGCTCCCGGATCTCGTTCTCCGCCCTGAGGGAGGTGGGCCTGGTCCATGTAAACCATCACATTTGCATGTCGTGCCCCGCCCACGCCGCTGGAATAAGCCTAACCTGCACACAAACACCCGGTCCCTGATCCAGCCGATCTAACCGCGCCCACGCGCAAAAGGGGCGGAGCGAAGAACGCGAGGCGCCTTGAGCCGGCCGCGGACCCGCCTTTCCTTTCTCGAGAGATGTGCTCCGAACTCCCTCGCCTGGCCATGCGGCTCGCGCCTGCGCACGCGCGGTCTCCAACGCCGGGCGCGGTCACGTGCTCACCGGGCGAGGCGGGGGCGGGGCGTCGCGGGTGGTGGGGGCGGGGTATGGCGCGCTGTGCGGCGCAGGGCGGCTGGCACAAACGGCGGCGCCGCGGCCGGAGGAAAAAGCTTGGTGAGGAGGTCGCCGGGGCAGAAGGGAGCCCAGAGGGGAAGGAGCCCCAGCCGGGGCGCCGGCGCGGGCCGGGCGGGGTGTGGGGGCGCGCGCCGGGCACGCCGCGGC